GTGAAAAGAACACACTTTAATGCTCAATTACTGTTTATGTGTTGAGTTTAACATATTGGGGGAAAAAGCATAAAATATCTAATGTGCCATAACTTCTGCACACGTTTAATACAGCAGTAATTGTGCATTAGAGTGTGTTCTCTGTAGTGGATGTATTCACTTAAAACATAAACAAAACATGGAGTCTGACCAGGGACGTCCAGACTGCTGTAGCTTAACTGACTGAACTGTGTTGTTATATCTGCTCCAGGTGTCCTTTTCACATGCTGGCTGTAGTTGGTAAGGAGTGGAGGACGCTGTCGTGGCTCTGGCACGCTGTGTGGGTGCTGCTGTATCCTCTGACCCCTGTGGCAGAAGGTGGGAAGAACCATCAGTTTATTAGCATAATAAATGCACAATATAATTAGAGTCTGTTAGTCTGAAGGAGCAACTGTTATCGTTTATTATTATTATTATTATTATTATTAATAATAATAATAATAATAATAATAATTGACAGATTAGCTAAATATGAGCATTAATGTATGGATTTAGTGTATTAGAATATTACATTATGACTGTCTTCATTTAATAGGACATTTATTAGGGTTAGGACATAAATATACATTACATTGGTATAATTCAAATAGCATCTACACACTGAATATCATAACATAAGAATAACTTTGTTCATAATCATATTTTAATATACTGAAAAACTTAAACACGAAAGTCTGTGCACGTCACTGTTTACGACACTTTTTAGACCAAAGTGCAAACAGCACCTGCCCTACATATTATAGATTATAGATTTTATTATTGCTTTAATGCATTATAGATTCTTTAATGCTTTTCTGTAAACCCCGCCCATCCTGAGTGAAAGGGATCAATAACTTTACCCCCCTTTATCTCCTACTGATCAATTTAATGAGCTGCCGATGAACATGTGGAGGCTGTATTCTTTACAGCCAGTGACTGTAAATACAGTATATAGTCATATTTACATTTAGACAATGCTGTGCTTTTACTGGGCAGACAGTCAAGCCCAGTTTACTCTTTGAAAAAATGACAGAAAATGTAACTTTTTACTTGTTTTGTATATTATTTCTTTAATGTTATGTGTGTTGTTGTCTGTTTTTGTTTACCTTTAACATTTTGATTCATTTTCATTAGAGCTTCTATTTAATTTTCAATAATGACCAACTTCAGTCTAATAAGCACTTGTTTGCAAAGCAGTCTGAGCTGCTACTTGTGTGAAAGGTGCTCTATAAACATAAATATAAATATATATGCACCTTTATTTTTATTGTTGTCAGATTGTAGGCAGATGTAAACATGCTGATGCTTCATTTTAAACCTAAACTGCTGGAAAAAAATATCCATTATCAGCTCATTTTAAAACATCCAGCAACAAAAAAGTGAACCCATCACACTAGTTTAACCTAAAATATCTGAAACGTAAGAAAAGTTGGTTGTATTTTGTTCTGCATTAAAGCCAGATGGGGTTTGAATCACAGAGCTCAGACTCTCACATCACTGCATTAGTCTGGAAACACCTTCAAACAGCGCAGCACCAAATAATCCCACACAGTCCAAACCGACTCGCTTCTTCAGTGCTCAGTTAAACACGATCTGCGTGAAATCAGGGCTTAAAAGCGTCTCATTGATCCTTCTTCACTGCAGGACACTCTCAGGAACTTTTCCAAGCAAGCAGAAAAACCCTACGCTCACTGGCCACTTTATTAGAAACCCCTACCTTGTAGTTCCACTCAGTGGCCACTTTATTAGAAACACCTACCTTGTGCTTCCACTAAATGGTCACTTTATTAGAAACACCTACCTTGTGCTTCCACTAAATGGCCACTTTATTAGAAACACCTACCTTGTGTGTCCACTCACTGGCCACAATATGGCAAGCAATATGGAAGTGTTGACAAATTCTGTCTCATTTTTTCATTCACAGCCGCTAGATGGCGCTGCAGTAGCAGACTGAAAATACCAAAGGGAACAGCACAGAACCTACAGACCACAACTGCTCTCCTAAACGCTGCTTTATCTGGAATAAAAGAGACATCTGTCACAGAAAAAACAGGTGCAGGGACAATATTTTACTGGTAAGTCAACTGCACAAGCACAAAAGGCCTGCTGGGATTAGCACAATAGAATTACAGTGGCAGAAGCCATTCCTGAGGGTTTATCTCACAATGGATAAAACATTATCAACCTTTGATAACCGTAATAGAGCTTCAATCAATGGAGTAAACATAAGTGAAGAAGGATCAATAATAGATGTGTTAGAGACCTGTATATCTCAAGATGTATACCTGCAGTGCGCTCTCAGTGGGCTTCGAAATCATTGTTATTGATTGGAACAAGGTATGAACTATATCTAAGGAATATGCAGTAAGTAACAAGGTCAAAGAAATCACATACAAAATCATTCATTAATATTACCCCTGCAAGAATATCGTCTCAAAATATCACCTACAGGTGGAGGATTTGTGTAACTTTTGTGGTGAAAACAATAAACATACTGAACACATTTTCTCCAGCTGTATCCATTCTAAGATCTTTTGGAATGATGTAATGAAGGATATTGGACATAAAATGAACATCATATTAATAATAGAAATTATATTTTGTTGAATCATAAAGACTGCAATACGGTGCCTATTTAATAAACTGTTCATTTTTCTCGGTCAATATTTTATCCATAAAATGAAACGAACAAATAGAATCCCAAATGACAACTTATGTAAAGATAAATCTGTCTGGTAACTATGTCTCCTCAATTGAATATATGTATTGTAAAAAAAATCTGGTAAATTGATGAACATGTTAACAAAATTTGAATTTCTTTGAAGAAACATTGTTATTCACCTCATGCAAGATGTGATGTTTGTGTTTTTTTTCATATTTGAATTGTATTTCTTTTTGTAAAATACTGTTGTACTATTACCTTGTTATCTTATTCCCCAAACGAAAATGCATCAGTATTAAAAAAGAACCTATAGACAACACGGCCGAGAATAAAGAGAAACGGAATCAAAGAAAACAATGTTCAGCTATAAACTGTAAAAGTTACCAGTGCATCAGTAAAAAGCCTTTCACTGTTTCATAACAAGGAGAAGTACAAAAAGTCCCTAATCTACATGGTTAAACTGTTCATACAGATCAGAATTCATCACATCTTACACAAAACTGGCAAATCTCGCAAATCAGAAGCACAATTGTAAATTTCTACAAATAGGTCATCAGTAAATTGCATGAGAAGCACTAATATTTCTATGTAAGTTAATTTTTGTAAGATATTTAAATGTCAGCATTTTAAAAAAAACATTTAACGTTAAACTTTTAAAAAAAGCACTGGACTATTAAAAGAAAGCCAACATTCAGTGTTCATCCAAACACCATCATCAGTTGTAATTACACACACACACACACACACACACACACACATATACATTTTCTAAGCCGCTTATCCTTCTGGTCACGGGGGGGAGCTGAAGCCAATCCCAGCAGTCATTGGGCAGAAGGCAGGAGACACACTGGACAGGTCGCCAGTCCATCGCAGGGCAGACAGACATACACACACATTCACACACACACTCACACCTAGGTGCAGTTTAGCGTGTCCAATTGGCCTGACTGCATATCTTTGGACTGTGGGAGGAAACCGGAGAACCCGGAGGAAACCCACGCAGACACGGGGAGAACATGCAAACTCCACACAGAAAGGACCCTGGTAGTTGTAATTACTCATAATTATAAAATATTGTAATTGTCTTTGTAATATGCTGATTTATAAACTTTTTTCATTGTTCAACACAGGCCATTACGGCAGAGGCATTAAATATATGAAAACAGCATAGTAAGAATTTTATTTTGCACCTTTGTTTTGTTGTACAGACCACTGTAGTGGTGTCATTATTCTGTAGTCGGCGCCATGCTCTTATGACCATATCAGGAACTCCAGGTCTAAGCTCCACTTCTCTATGGCCAGAATGAATAGGGTTTTCAAAAAATCGCCTCTATCGCCCCCTGTGGTAGATAAAATGTTCAGAGCCTGATATGTTTTGCCTTATGAACATTCTTCTGTCTAATATAACTGGTTCTTCAGAAACTACATAAAATACACAACCAAAATGTTGTAATACATTATTGGCTCATTATTGGCAAAATTTGATTTTCATTACATTTTTTTAGCTTATCTCCAAAATAGAAGTCAGCAACTTTCAACAAGTTTCTATAGACTGCTAAAGACATCTACAAGTAAATGACACAACTTCAGCTAACCTGCCTCTTCTCCCTGCAGCTGTCCCTGGTACACTGCTTGCTAGCTGACATTACTAGATTAAAATGTGGTTAGCTACACTTTTCAGTATGACTCTGTTAGTCAGTGAAAATGAAAATGTGTCTTCTATGCCAGCCCACTAGGTGGTCCAACAAACAAAATTTAGGGTGCTTAAATTTCTACTATGGATAATAGTCTGTTCGTGGTTGGTATGCTTGCCTTTTCTGTTGAGTTTGAGGGACAAAGGTTTTGGACTTGAACAGTTTGACTTCGAATTCTGTTTTCTGGTGTTTGGTACTGTGTCACCAATTCGGTAACTGAAGAAGATACATTGTCATTCTAGCCCTGTCATTGTGTTTCTTCCTCTCTCTTTTCATGATTGTTCATTCTTTCTCTCTCTCTCTCTCTCTCTCTCTCTCTCTCTCTCTCTCTCTCTCTCTCACACACACACACATTTAGGCTTTCTGGTGTTTATTGCACTAAACGTAGGTGATCATGGCAACCCACGTGAGGGTTTTCTGTTGCGCATATAGCATGGCAAAATGGTGCACCACCAATGGTGCCATTACTGTTTTGAAAAAGCTATTTAGTATGTTAATACAGCATGCATATGGGACATCGGTTAGATCAAAGAAGACACGCTGCATAAATGGTTGGTTGTTTTTTTCATGGTTTTATTTGTGTTATGCCAGAATAAATAGCAGGCTATTCATTATATACACCCAAAATAAAGCAAATACAGTTATATAACTGTTTTAAAACACACATAAACTAACAAAAACAGCATAAAAGACAAAATGGGGGATGTGATAAAGACACCACCGCCTCGACCCCCACCCATGTTGCCGGCGTGTCCCAATTTTGTCACAGCTAAAACCTGGCAACCCTAGTTGTGTGTGAATATAGTGCACTATTTCTATCACTTTGCTGTGTTTAACATACTGTAACAGTAATTGTGCATTAAAATGTGCAGATTATATAAATCAATGCTCACTGACCAGATAAATGGGTTTGTATGACATTATTTCAGAGTTGACCATTTCCAAAGCTCTCCTTGAAGAAGCCCAGTATTTACAGGTACCATGCAAAGCTTAGTTTGACTAATCAGTCCTTCATTAAATAAAGTAGGTGTGCTCAATAGCTTTACTGAAACTTTAGTGAAATGTTTATATGTTTTTCTTCCAATATAATAAAGAGTTTAACAGATAAATAATCCTAAACAATTTCCATGACTGCCTAAAATATTTGCATATGTGTAAACACAGTGACCTAAAACTGTGTGAATGTTAAAATACATTGAGTTGTTGTGATAATCTACAATGTTATTATAAAATATTTATGTATAGTTAAACTCTATATGGACAAATACAAAGTAAATAGACTGAATGTATAATACATTGTCCCTTTATTGTAACTGTTATGACTATAAACAAATTGTCCATTATGCAACATGTCAGTACAGAAGATTTTGCATTGTGGTTCAGATCCAGTATCATGAGCTGAGGTGGCTCTGTGTGAAGTCCTTTGTTGATTTTTGCTCTTCATGAATGGATTTACAAGTGATGGATAGGAACCACAGGAACATCAGAACACCTGGAAGGTGAATTTCACAGGGAGTCAAATCATGTTTCACCTATTTCTTTCAACATGTAAAAGTACAGTATAAGTAACAGACTATGTCTAGAAGACTTCGGCAGGTGGGGGAATAAATCGACGACATTAAAGTAAGAGCTTAGCAAAAAATGAAATTTCTCCACGTCAATCAGCCAAGAGGTGTTTGGTGTCTGAAGTTTGCTTAATTAGTTTTTAGAGCTGTGAAGCTTAATGTACTTAACAAGTACACTTGTGCCAATGTAAAATTTTACATTATGATAATTACCTAACTTTTTTTGCAAGTTTATGATATCAGCATGTTATTAAAAAAATATATGAATTTATTAAGAGCTTTAGCAGCACTATGTAGGTGGTTATACATGTACAATATGTAATCTTTAAAAATAAAATAAATACAAAAACTCCATATACTATGGCTATACTATACTTAAACTGTGTATATTTATCATAAAGGCCTATCTGCAGTTAGGACTGGAGCACAGAACCCCTGACATAGACTAGTAATGCATGACTCTTGGCTTTGTCCTCAACTCCACTTAATTTAAACCAAGACAGCATCAGATCTAATTATAAAGATGTATGGATGGATGGATGGATGGATAGATAGATAGATAGATAGATATATAGATAGATAGATAGATAGATAACCTATTTGTAACTAGCAAAGATACTTTCTCTAGATAGACAATGCACTTTTTGTAATTCGCTCTGGATAAGAGCATCTGCTAAATGCTGTAAATGTAAAATGTAGATGATTAGATAGATAGATATATAGATAGATAGACAGATAGATAGATAGATAGATAGATAGATAGATAGATAGATAGATAGATAGAACTGTATGGATCCCGAAGGGAAACTGCAGTTAAATAAAGGGATTTAACCATTTTTGAGTAGCTACAGGTTGTAGTGATAGATTAAAAATTCATAGATTATACCAAGTGATATGAGGTAGCTTGACAAATTAGTAAAGCTCAGATCAGAATTCACATCTTACCATGAGCCTGTGTCACACAATGAGGGGCGAGGGGATTTCACCGAAAAGAAACCATTTTCAGAATCGTTTTCAGTTCTTTAGAAAATAACTATTTATTCTGGAGTAGTTGGATGTTATCTGGTTCCTCTTTTCACAAGGCTGAAGTTGGTTTCATATTCCCCAGATTCTTATTTGACATTTCTGCTCCACCTTAAATGATGCAGATGTCTTAATGGTGTGCAGGTGCCAGAATGCAACCACCATTTAAGGAGGAACGGAAAATAAGAAGGTGGCGAATAGGAAGCCAACTTCAGCTTCATTCTCTTTTCCACAACATTCTAAGAAAAAAAATCTTCATTTTTGGTTTTAGTTTCGTTCCTTGTATCGTTTCTAATAACTGTTTATTGCAGCCCTATTTAGACTCTTTCCTTCATTATACTCACCTCCATCAAAACGTCCCTCAAGCCAATTACGATGAAAAACACGTCGAAGAGTCAAAGAGTCATTTACAAACATTTTGATTCTTAGAATCATTGGCCAAAAGTGACACTTGAAGCTTGTAACAGATATAATGTGTATGCCATTTTTGTTTGTTCCAGTTTTACAGTCTAGTCATTTCAGAGTCTTTCAGAGTCTAACTAATGATTAGCCGTTTAACAGTCTGCCGAGCTGGTTGTTAAAACCAGGTTCTTATGTAGGGTATGTTTACTATGGTTTTAGACCTTTTACTTCATATTCACAGAATTTGCGACTGCAAACTTATGTATATTTGTGAGCTCAGAAACTTGGAACAATGTTCTGAGAAAACATCACATTTTTGAGCGACGTGAGTTTTTACTTTGTTTGAAGGAGGAAAAAGTTATGGGACCTCACCTCCTTTAGTTGTGAATGGATGCGTTGTAAAAGTTTACCTAAAGCTGATCCAATCATACACTCAGAGGAGGGAACATGTCATGAGATCATGACCGTGTTATGGGAGCGTATGAAAGCACAGCTGACCCGCGCTTCTAATAAATCTCATGTAAAACTGCACCTCGTTTGACTAAAATGCAGTGATACTATTTTAAAGGCTCCATGTTATCATCACTGTGCATATTATGTATTGCGGTATACCAATTACCATATTAGGACAGCCATATGTCTATGAACATATGAGGTAAGACTATAATCTACAGTTTAACATTGCGCAGACCACATGCCAGATCATGACACTCTTGTCGCAAACCCTGAATAGACTTCTGTGGTTTCTGTTAATGCTGTCATTAAAAATGAATACAGCATAGCTCAGATCTGCAGCAACAACCATCTTAAAACCTGAATTTTGTCTGTACTTTTGTCATTTTTGTAGATAAAAGTCTTGGTTGATCAACTACATTTGGGGTACTCATAAAATTGTATAATTGTTTACCTTATTATTCCTTTTAGAGCAAGACTGTGTCATACACTTTATGGAATGACCCTTACCTTGAAAGGCATTGAGTATGTTGAAGAGGTAAGTTCCCGGTAGACTCAGGGGTCCATAAATGGTGAATGCCAGCCCCCAGGGGAGGCCCAAAACACAGCTGAGTCCCAGTATGGTGGCCAAGTCTTTCCACATCCTCCTCACCCTGCCTCTGGACTGGATGCTCCGTGCTCTCAGCTGCCGCGTCTTCACCACCATCACTGCCAGGATAACGACATTGAAGAGCAGCACCAGCCCCAGATAGCCAGTCACTGTTACGAACTTCATTGCTTTATGGATACCGTCTTCATTTTCTGTCTTAAACCAGCAGCTACACGTTGGGAAGAAACACAAATGGTGGAGATGAGGCGCACAGGGGTAAAGAGATTAGAGATTGAGAAACGTTTTGGAACTGCTGAATAGGTCTTACAGGTCCATGGCTACTGTGACACTGCTGGTGTTCTTTGTGACTGTGTGTTTGCCATATGCACCAACCACTCCGCAGATCATCACTGTAATTGTAGGAAGTCCTACAGCAAAAAAGAAGCCAGTGTTAAAGAGTTATTCTTTATGTCATAAAGAATAAAACAAAAGGGTCATTGTGGTCTAAAATAATATGCTAAGCTGTCTAGTTTTCACTATGACAAAAAAAAACCCCAGAAAAACAATTTTTTATCAAACCTACACTGGTTGCCAGTCAAATTTCACATCGATTACAAAATTCTTTTACTGACCTATAAAGCTCTAAACGGACTTGCCCCTCAGTACCTGACTGAAGTTCTCTCATACTATGAACCATCATGCCTACCTAGATCACACGTAACTATTAGTACCTAGAATTAATAAAGTTATGTCAGGGGGGAGAGCCTTCTCATACAAAGCCCCCCAGCTTTGGAATAATCCTCCAGTCAGTGTTCGGGACTCAGACACAGCCTCAGCCTTTAAGTCTAGGCTAAAAACGTACTTGTTTAGTCGAGCCTTTGGTAATTAATTTTGCCTGTTAAAAGCACTGTCAACTTTTTGTCCATGCAATCCTTGCATTAATAAAGAGTAGCTTTCATTAATTCAAGGATTGTACAGACAAAAAGTTATACATTATACATTATAACTTATTATTATAACAGTGCACGCTGTTGCTTCTGTTGGAGAAATGTCAGCCTCCGATGCATTACACGAAGTTCTTAGTTGGTAAGATGCTAAATTGGTCACCCCCACCAGCACAAAGTGCCAGTAGACTGTTGGTAATTAGTGTAGCTTTTAGTAAGTCTGCCCTTTGTCTTCAATGAGCTTTGACAGCCAAACCAGCAAAAAACAAGAACATGCATCTTCAGTGGGCACAGAAGCATCAAATCTTTACTGTTGAGAAGTGGAAAAAAGTTGCCTGGTTGGACGGATTTGGTTTCCTTTTGCATCATGTTGATGGACAGATCAGAATTCAGCGCAAGCAATGAGTCCGTTGAGCCGTCCCGTTTGTGTCAATGGTACAGGCTGGTTGTAGCAGTGCGATAGCATCAGGAATTTAGTTCTGATACACATGATACTACTGATACCTACTGCATAACATGTAATTAGGTGTATCATCTGAACATTGTTGCTGATCAAATTTATCCCTTCATGGTTACTCGCACTTGGTGGACGCTGCTAGCATGATAGTGCACCTTGTCACAAGTCATGTACATGATTATGGTTTAGTGACCCTAAACCCTATCAAGGATCTTTTGGATGAGATAGAAAGTGCTGTTTATAACAAAAGTGCAGTTATTGTGTACAATCTATCCCTAGGCAAATTCATGGTGCTCTGAAGGCCAAAGGAAGTGTAAAGATGTACCTAATAAACTGGCAAACATGTGTTGCAAACTACCACTGGCCAGTGCACATGCCAAAACTAACAGGCCACCAGGAGTTATTGCCAGTCCTGGCCTGTTTAAAGGACTTGATGATGGTGGACCATATCTTCATCAACTCACCCCAGCCCACCAGGCTAAGTTTCAGCAGGTATCTCCTGATGTAGATGTTGAAGACCCGCACCAGCAGCAGGTACAGATGGAAGCCTTCGATGGCTGTCCAGGTGAAAGTGGCCAGCAAAGCCCAGTGCAGCATGAGCCCCAGGGCCTGGCAAACTGCCCACTCTGGTTCGGACCAAATGGAACTGGCCAGGTAGAAGAGGTGCAGTAGCAGCAGTGAGCCTGTCAGCTGTACATGAATGATGACAGAGTGCTCTGCCTTCGACTTCCTATGGAGAGAGAGGTCAAAAATGAATTAATTTATTCCTTTTACTTTTGCTTTTCAGTTATAAATTTCACTTCACATCTTTCCTCTTTGCCTGTTAGACCTGCAACCAGTTCATCACTGGACATTTGTCTGGGCTGGTGTTATGTTTTAAACCAGTTTCTACCAGTAGATCTTGGCTGATAAATAGGTGACAGCACAAGATATCGTTTCTAAACTGGCTTTTGACATATAAAACCAAGACATTGTTCTTTTAAAGTTGGATGACACCTGTTTGCATCATTCTACCAAACTGGTATAAAACTTTTATAAAACTTTTATAAAAAATCTTCTATAAAAAATCCTAGTAACGCTTTCTATGAATGTCACCTTTGTAACCATCTATAAACACATTTATAACATGTTATAATGTATTCATAAGGCATTATAAACATGGTTATAAATATTTATAAAAAAAGAATTACACTGAATAACATTTTACAGCCATGTTTATTATACATTATGAATTGTTTATATAATGCATTATAAATAGTGTTAATAACATGTTATAATGTCAGTGCCAAAGAAGTCAGTCCCAGCTTGGAGAACGTGAAGTAAAGACTAATACCAAGCTAACGGTGGTGTACATTACCTTTCCCTCATTGGTCAAAACACTGATGGCAGCTCTAGTTTAAACTCTGACATTTGAAGCCTGTAATGTGCTTTATTGTGTATGTTTTAGTGTTTCAGTAAATCCTTCAGTAAATACTTCACTTGAAGCCTCACTCTGAACACTGGAGGAGGGTTTAGTAGATTACGCTTCTCTTTATTTAGAGCGGATAAATACAACTTATGAGCTCTTATAATTTGTTATGATCAGTACTTATAATTTATTATGTTAACAATTCATAATGCATAATAACCATGGCTATAACATATAATGCAAATTTATAAATATTTATAGCTATGTTTGTAATGTCTTATGAATGCATTATAACATGTTATGGATGTGTTTATAGATGCTTACAAAGGTGACATTCATAGAAAGTGTTACCAAAATCCTTTTGCTTTAAGTGACTCTGTACTTTAATTATGTTAATTCTATGCAAATAAATGATTCCACATTCCATTTTGTCACTATCAAAACAATCACAACACTACTAAAATGGTGCCAGATGTTTTGGTATTGACAGTGTTAGGTAATTTTGAGAATAATGCAAAGACACTAGTTATTACATGACTAGCAAACAGCTTTAAACAGTTGTATAAAATCATAAAGTTTACTTAATAGCAGTCAACATGTTTCTACTGGGCATTACTGGGAGATTGCAGATGGTTTGACAATCATAAACGTTAATTTCAGTCATTCATATCATGCATGCTAAATTAATTCTCTGACTTGTTAAAATGATCAGATATCAAAGAAGAATTCATTGGAACCAACAAGAACACAGAACAATTTAATAGTTCTCATGGGCTTTATCCTAATAAAAGCTCTGTCTGGCTGAAAGGATTTCCAAAAATAAAAATAATAATAATAAAATAAAATAATTTCAATTAAAATTTTACAACCATGCAAAATCTTAAAGCTGGACTCCACTTCATTTTTTTAGTTTTGATATTTTAAAGCCCCACTGAATGACCGAACTGAGCTAAAATCTTAAAAAGAAAAAGAAGAACATATTACCTTTCAGTTTTTACTTCTACAAATGTTTATTTTAGCAGCACAAAGCAGCACAAATGTAGCTCAAATGAATAGACGTTTATGGGGGGGCTGAGTGATGTCACTGATCAAAATCGTATGGCTTTATAAATTGAGAATTAAATTAACACAAGCGTTTCTTTTAACAGCACAAATGCAGCACAAACAAATGAGCCCATTTGTCTGATTTATACCTTGATGATGGAGCCGAGTGACGTCACAGGTAATAAAACAATGTTTCATCTCTCTAAAACAGTGCCAGCACAAACTGATTCATACAACACAAAGGAGCACAAGGAATAAGAGTACTTTTATCCATTTCTGATTATATGGGGGGGCCAGCTTCATGGAGGCTTGCTACCCTCTCATAAACAGTGAGTTTCACAGCAGACTGTGACCGTGGTGTGAATGTATTTTGAGAGTTGTCTAACCTGTGGCATAAAAACAGCACGATGATGATGATTGTGAATACCACAGACAGAGAAGACCCAATGTATGAGATATACACAAGACGCTGAACGTGAGCAGGGTCTGGCACATCAGGGCTCTGTCAAAGAACAACATAGAGGACAAAAGACAGGTTCAGATCCAGGAATGATGGAGCTGTTTTTCCCAAACACTACAAGCGGTAATGTTATTTTTTAGTGCATGTATTATGCTCTCTGCCCACGAGACCCACATGCTTAATTGGAGTTTTCTGAGTGACTTAACTGAAGAGGTGTAAGTAACGAATTAAATTTACTCTCGTTACTGTACTTGAGTACAGTTTTCCCTGTAATGGTACTTTATGGAGTAGAATTAAATCACAGAACTTTTACTCTTACTTGAGTTAATTTATAGCGGAATACTTTTATATTTAACGCTACTTTAATTTTCATAACGTTACAGAGTAAAAATAAGTTAAGAGTGTATCTGCTTAGAAACCAATACGAATGAAGCGCGGTTAAATTCAAAAGATTCACCAATCAAAAAACAGCGACTCTGGCAGGAAAAACACTACATAGATGTCCAGTTTAGTGAAGAAGGACAGAGGAGCACTGATCCAGCACACACAAGGAACAGGCCGCATCCAAACAGTCATCTGTGTTCATTTTCACATGAACTAAAGAAAACAGCGTTAAAATCAGCGGCCAAACACGAAACCTGCTGAGATCCGCTCTCACCACTCGACTCCAGCCTGAGGCAGCGATAGCCGAGATAGCTGATCCGAGCTGAACAGGTACCGTGTTTACAGTTTTCCTCTTTCTTTTATAATGATTCTCTTTATTAAACTTGAAATCTGTTGTGTATATTTATAAATGTCTGTCAGCTACAGGGTGTCTACAGTTTACCTGTTTAAAACATAACCTAGTTTGTTTGCGGTTTTGGAGATAAACGGTCCTGAACCGCTTTAAGACAAGAAATCTAGTGTAATACAGGCTCTTCATAAACTCTGGACAAGGAATCTGTCATGCTGTTGTTTTTTAAGCTGACTGGCGTGATCTGGGGATTCCTGAAAGCTTTCTTGTGAAGGTTCTTAAGAATGTTCTTAAATGCAAATCTCAAAAAAAGCTTAAGAAGTTTTCAAGTATTCTCTTATGTTGATCTGAAGTATTTTCTTAAGAGGTTCTTAAGAAGAAAATGGACAGGAAGAGCAGAGACAGCATCTGTGGTAAATTTAGACGGTGACCTTGTCAACTCTTACGGCCTAAGACAAGTGTGAGGCTGTCGTAAGGTTGAGAAAGCATTTAAGAACATAATACTTTCAGGAATAGCGCTTGTTCTTCAAAGTATTTTTAAGAAAATAGTTAAGAAAAGAGAACAAGATCATTCTTAAGAAGTTATTTGAAGAATAACAATTTCTCATCACTTTTTTCTCAAGAATGAAGTCAAGAAAAAACACACATTTAAGAGGATTTTCTTTCTTAAGACAGTTTCGTGAATCCGGCCCCTGATCTGATCAGACTGCAGGTGGAGTTTGAATAGAGAACTTGTAGAGAGGAGAATGATTTCTCTGTAATATCTTCCAGGTTTTTCAAACACTAGAGGGCGCTCCCAAACTAGTCCAAAATGAATGTGTTAAGATGGAGCATTTGAGCAAAATCATAGTTTATAAATGCTTACACATTTTTAATGTAGAAGAATATATTCATATCCTGAACAAAGAAAGGCATAAAACATTTTAAGACTGCGGTTATATTTTTAAGAGCTTTTAAACTCGAGTTATATGAGTTTAAAACGATGCCTCATATACGTCGATGACGTCTGTGAGCATGAACAGCCAGTGAGCTGCTCCGCTTGCCAACCATTCAGCACTCAGTAGCAGTGATGCAGGCGTTCTGCTGCCCAAAACCCGTTTGTTGTAGAAAAAAGGAAACATACAGGTGAGTTTTCTTGGCTTTTTTAGGGAAATACGTCCTCCTACTTTCTAAAATTAAAGAAATGTTCTGGGCGAGTGATTAGAAACTATTTTAACTTTTTGTTTTTAGCCGTTGAGCTCCATTTACTCCCATTCATTGAGAACTCACTCATGGGCGCCCTCTGCTGTTTTGCAGTCCTGTTTTTGATATAACGGTGGAAATAGGAAGTAGCCAGGCTCCTCATACACCGGCTCTGATATGAAGTTCTTTTGTACACAGACCAATTGGAGCTCAGCATACACTGATAAAACATCCTCACTCACACACTTTAAACAGTGTTGAGCCGTAATATTCAGATCATTGTTCGGTCTGACTGTGGAAAAAACTGGAAAAAATTCATAGGCTCCTAAAAACTCTTCTGTCTGTCTTTCTCTCTTCCTTCCTGCACCACCCCCATATCTCCCTCTCTCTCTGCCTTGGTGTTTGTCTTTAACTGTGAGAGGCTGTTTAGCTGTTTAACTGTCAAAAAAAGTAATAATAAATGTCTGATTCTGTATGAAATAATCATGATCACCAGTTAAATATATTGCTGGGTAAATTGCTGTTCTTGCTGCTGATTTTAAAGGTAGAAATGTTCTGAACAGATATGAGTGAATACGTGCAGCTTGAAGGTATTCATAAAAAAACAAAAATGTAGGTCATGGACCCTTTAAAGCATGCTTTCATATTGTGTAATCAGAAAATCAGATCATACAGTGTGTGTGGTAAACACTTACTATTAGCATTGCGAAGAAACTGAGGTGATTGCATTCGCAGATAAAGTCTGAGTTGTTCTGTGTGGTTTTACAGCCATCTGTGCTCCAGTTACCTACACACACACACACACACACACACACACACACACACGAAACAGGAAACAAACCACTTCACCTACAGTCTTTCTTCAGTTTTTACAGTCTTGCCAGATAAAAAAATGAAGATTCCTTTAAAATTTAGATTAAAAAGCTGAGGGTTCGGCTCAGGACCTTGCTCACTATTGTTTGACAGCTTCCAGAAGACACATTTTCCAGTCCCATTCTGAAACATAGGCATATGTTTTGGGAAGAAAATGAGTGGAGAATACATCATTTCAATTCTGCACTTGCCAAAATCGCACATTTACTTAAAGTTGCTGTCTTTAAGATTAATTCGCTTGTATTGTATGGTAGGTAAAATGCTTACCTGACTGACATTTACAAAAACAATCCTAACAGGATTAGAAAGGTTGTGGACATCTCTCATGCCAAGCCACACTCCTAAGATCTGCTCGTGAGGAGATCCTTCATCTGAAGGTGCCTGTGCAGAGAACACCAGTATGACTCATTAAAGCTATGTAGAGGTCATGTTGATGTAGAGAGAATTGCTGTTTGCAGTCACGAGTTCAGAGCATTATGAATGTACTGATGGTAATCACAGAAAGTTGAACATTACCTGAGAACATGTAGACCAGTGAAAAATTTTGGGAGTTCCTATTTCAACATAAATGATGAAAGAAACTCCTGACTCTAACCTAACTTTGTGTAAATAGACCACAATATAGAAATATGTACACATGCAGTTGTGACTGGCGTGTTTCTTTATTCTGAATTTACACAAACACTATTTCATCTTATAGTAAATTTGTTTTTGCTAGTTTATGTTTATGAACATGTTTATTAAACCGAAACTTCGCTTGTTTGTAAAAGGTTATTTCAGAGCCACTCAGTTCTACCTAATGGAAACTGTTTGCCTTCGGTGTTTTGTGCTTATGATAATTTTAATAGACATCAGCATCACTAATTAATGACATTCTATTAAAAGATTGGTGTTATAAGAGTGACACTGGAGTATTTTCATCTAAAATTAGTTGACAAAGCAACAGTCTTGTTACAAAAATGATAATAGGACATTAGAGCAGGAATTAATCTTTAATACTTTTACTTTTGATACTTAAGTACACTTGAAGTCAAATACTTTTGTACTTTTACTCAAGTGGAGGTCTAAAGGGAGGAACTTCTACTTTTACTGGAGTAATATTTTACCTTGCAAGTGCATGGTTTGTGTACTTCGCCCACCACTGCTGAAAGGTAATGTATAGGTCAGGATTATGGATATGACTCGTAGCAGGTTTTTCTTTTATTCTGTTACAGTAAGAGTGGTTTGAATAGGGCTACTATCACTGAGAGAGCTCACTTCTGAAAGATTACTGTCAGACTTACTGATTACTACCGACATTGCCGGTTCATACTGGACCACAGATCTCATCAGCAATTACTTAATTTACAATACTTTCCAGATTACTAATCCAGCTCAAAGAGAGTTGAACAAACTCATGAAAGCCTTGGTACTTAGCCCATGAATTGAAGCTGGAGTTAAAGTTATCAACTGTGCACTTTTGCAGCCCACCAGAACTGGAGATCAACACCTTTGATTAAAAAATAAATAAATAAATAAAAAGCTAGAATCCGACACTAACCTCAAAAAGGCTTGTGTTGAGTACGGATACAGTCAAGTCCACTCGACGGCCACTAGTTTTCAGGTGCTCCCCACCGCTTTTCAGGACAGCTTCTGATGGAATATAAATTACATGTCCATACTCTGTGTCCACTCTGGCCTGCAAAAGCAATGAGTTATACACAATTCATTGTGTATTCATGCACATCTTTCTGAATTTTGCAATGCTAGCAGGCAGTATTATAAAAAAGTTCAGCTGCTAAATCTCACAGGTAAAAGAGTCTCTTCGTCATGGGAAACTTTTCGGGCCTGGGACTTCTGCCCAGAATATTTTTTTGCTCTGTTTACATCTGACAGCTCATTAGCAACTCTAGCGACCTCCGTGAAGCTGCGCCCCCCCGTGTGGTCAGAAATGTAATAAGAATACTACTGTTTGTTTGTGTTGGTTTGTGCCGTAGGAATCATCGTTTGTGTAGACAGTGTTTTTGAGAAATTAAGATTATATTTTATTACCTGTGATGTCACACAGCCCCCCATCAACATCCAAATAGCACAGAATTGGTCTCATTCATTTGTGCTGCGCTTGTGCTGGTTTGTAACATTAAAATAAATGTTTGTGTTATTTTAATTTGAGTTATAAAGCCATAAAGTTTTGATGAGTGATGTCACTCAGCCCCCCATCAACGTCCAAATTGCACCAAAACGGGCTCATTTGTTTGTGCTGCATTTGTGCTGCTAAAATAAACTTTTGTCACTCTTTGAAACTTTATGGCTTTATAACTTGAGAATTAAAGTAGCACAAACGTTTCTTTTAACAGAACAAACCAGCACAAACGAATGAGATCATTTCTGTGCGATTTGGACGTTGATGGGGGGCTGAGTGCTGTCACAGGTAATAAAATATAATGCTTAATTTCTCGAAAACGCTGCCAGCACAAACGATGATTCCTACGGCACAAACCAGCACAAACAAACAGTAGTATTTTTATTCCATTTCTGACCACATGGGGGGCCAGCTTCACTGAGCTCATTTTTCCTGCTTAATAATACATAATAAAAATAATGTTTTTAAAAATCAAATATATTAATATATAAAATTTGCATTTCATTTCCTGTCCCAGGTGACAGCCCTGTGAAAGCAATGGGTTAGACATGCTTCAGGTGGATAATTACTGCCATGCGCTCTAAACACATTGCAAATCACGACACTGATTGCTCAAAAACGTTAAGTACCATGAAATTGCTGTTACATAAATCTACATTAGAAGATACAGAAGTTGGAAACAGAAAAGAAAAAAGAAGAAATGGGTTGACGTCTCGTCTTTGAGTTCCCTTTTTGTAATGTCATTGAGCAACTTGAAGTAAAACCAGATGTGCTAAAATCTTGCGTTGGTGAAGATACTCAAAGGACGAATGGCGTAAAAGGGAAAAGTGGTCTTTTGAAATACTTAAGAAACCCTTAAGAAACAAGATGAATATCTTATGGGTGAGCAGCAAAAGAAAAACTACATTCTTGAAAAACGTGTAGAGCACACTTAGTGGTGTCATGAGACACACGCTTTGATGCGGATGTGGAGAATAAGTGTGTTTCTTCAGCAGTGATGTTTGGAAATAGTGCTGTAATGGTATGGTTCAGGTGGAACTTGGCCCATTGTACACAGTGCTAGGAAGCATAAAGGCACTTCTTGCCTAAATTTTGAGGACAACACTGTGTACCATATACTGCGGCGGCTGTGTGGTACGGGTCTTTGTATCAACACAAGTGCTTCTTTTTACAAAACATGTATGGATGTTTTGAGAATAAAAATGTCAAGATATTTGATCAAGCAGGACAAATTTAACTGAGCATCTTTAGAACAAATCAGATTATATAATTAGGGTGCATCCAAAATAAGCATCCTAAGTAACATCCTGCCTTTCAGTGTATCAGACACTGACTGCAAAAATGTATTCAGACCAGATTTAAGCTACACAATAGCAGTAAAGGTGTGCCAAACTATCCATGCTGAAATAGGATTTCCGATACTTTCAATAAGATAAAATATACTGATGCCCTGTATGTCGCTGTTGTCGGAAGAAAACCTTGTATCTCCAAAATGGTAAATTACAGGCGAAGGAAATCATTTTGGAAAGTCGTTTTGGGCCGTTTCTTTTGGTTCATTCATCATGAAATTTACACACAATATAAAGAGCAATTTCAAAAACTGAAAAACGACAAAAATGGAGATACGAGGTTTTCTTCCGACAGCAGCGATATGCACCTAGACGTGTGTTACTGCAAATTACAGCTTTACAGTTTACAGTGAATGTTAGGGTGGACACTGCAAATGCCAGTTGTCTTGTGAATATAAGAAATTAGTATGGTCTTACCTCACTGGAGGGAGACACAGTTTGCAAGTACAAGCCTGGGGTGTTTATTCTGGTTCGACGTCTTCTGCAGTTTCTCATCTTTGTTTCAACACACCTGATCAACACATGCATTGACTGTAAAATGTGCATATCATTTTCCCAGAAGCGTATAATATCTACACTATGAGCTAAACTCTACTCATTTGGTCAGCATTACAATGAACACAGCAGTGTGTAAGCAGTAGGGGTGCGGGAAAAAATCGATTCTTAGATGCATCGCGATGCGGATGTGAACGATTCTGAATCGATTATCAAAGGTCAAAAATCGATTTTCTAAATATTTAATTTATCACGTAATGTTGACGGAATGCAAAGGTCGGAACTTGGAAGTGCGGAAGTGCAGCGCCCGGACAGTCTGTGGCGGCACATAACAAAAACACACATGGATGAGTGAGAAATCCAACCGGCTCCCTCTGCATTAAAGCCAGGTTAGATCAGGAGTCACAACACAAATGATAAGAAGGGCCGTTTTGTCCTTTCAACAAAAATCAAACCAGCTTTGGAGCCACAGCATTTAATGTCCAGTATGTGTCAGTATGTGATAATATCCTAGTATAGACTAAATATTATAAACGAGAGCGCAGATTTACTACTACAAGTTAGAAAATCACTAAAGAAAACGGGTAGGACAGCTGTAACATGTGCTGTGTGGACATCCATCACCACTGGATCTTATTTCACCGTAACTGCACATTTTATCGCAGATGAGTGGCAGCAGCGTCTCATGTGCTCTAAACAAGAGCAGTCAATGAGAGCCTTCTAGTTCACTTGCCACATCACTTCCATTTGATTTATTAATAAGAGATAATGGAAGTAAATTCATTATGGATCATTACAAATACTTTGGTTTAAAAGTACCAAGTCACTTTAAATAACAATAACACCGAGTCACTTAGTCACTTTAAAATGTATATTGTCTCTATATTCTGTGTATATTTTGTGTATATTTAATATATTTCAGTTAGTTTTTCTTGTATTTTTATTTTTACTTATTTACTTTCTGTAGAGTGATTAGCTGAGCCTCACCACAAGCATTTCAATGCATAAATGTCCTGACATGTTGTGCAAATGACAAATAAACTTGAAACTTGAGCTCACAGTGAGTAAATAGAAATGCTGTACAGAAAAAAAAGATACATCGATAATCATTTTATAATCGCATTGCAGCCCTCTGAATCGTAATCGAATCGAATCGTGAGGTGCCTAGAGATTCCCACCCCTAGTAAGCAGTTATAATATAGTACATTTAAAATATCAGTTATGATCACTTTGTTGGAAAACATGGAAAACAAATAAGCTAATTGTTTAGCCACATTCCTGAGTGGCCCGTAGTACCAGCTGCCTGTAGTACTGTACCTTTTTTTATGTAATTATTGTTTTCCATTAAAGAACAAAGTATGCTAACCAGAGCTACTGAAGAAAAAATGCTTAAATAAAAAAAAAAAAAATTTGGATGCATTTAAGATATTGCCCTAGGAACCTCATGATTTTAAATCATTGATGATTTATCTATGAATACTGGTATTATTATTATTATTATTATTATTATTAGTTCAGAACACAACATAAATTAACTGAAATAAAAAGAACATTAAAAGTTCATGTACACATAAGTTTAATGCCCATTAATTGAGATGTAGGTTTGATATCTACTCTTTTTAAAGATGCAGTTTTCAATGTTGTAACTCACCGAGGGATGGCGACGGAATGCATTTCTATACAGTCAGCAACAACTTTATGACATTGACTGGAAACATTTTCAAATGAACCTGCAGATAAAAAAAAGTTACTGTATTTTCCTCAAATTCCACAGATGTGTTCTTATTATAAGTAGAGGAATGTAGACCAGTAGAGATGAATACCATTTCTTTATGTATATAGTTTTAATATGCTGACTTCTTTGTCCTATACAAATGTAGAATTGGCCTAATACTCATTCACTGTTAATAGCAGAAAACTCATCACAGCTCAGAAGAATCCTTAACCTCACCTATTAACTATCTATTATGTCCGAGAAGGAAAATGTATAAAATCATGAACAATTAGGTCCTTTAATCAACTGAGCCTAATCAAAGCCTGTGTTTAATGTATAATGAACAGTGAATATATAATTCACAGCCCTAAAAGCTTCAGGTTTAATGATCTAAACTTTTAGCTCATGGATTAGAGTGTGGTTTCTCTTGATGGCCTTAAGATGGTACTTTAAATTAAGCTGAAATCATAGAATATGAAATGTTCCATATCTTACCTTCTCCAACCAGCACCACAGAGAAAAATATGAAAATTGGAAGTAAAGAGGCTCTCATTTCATAAGCATATAATCTCCCCCTGCTTTTCTGCTGCCACTGTTACCTCTCGTTTCCTCAGTGTGAACTCTGTCTCATTTCACGTCTGTGGTTTTCTGTTAAATCGGAAGTCAGCTGTCACCACACGATATCGTCACTTGAACTGTGTGCATTCGCATTGTCTGTGAAGATATATTACTAACTTAAACACAAGCAGAGATATGTACCATGTCACGTACATGATGGAAATAGGGTGGATATAAAACAGACATTATTTGAAGGTGGCAGACAGGAAGAAACAGAGAGGGGAAAGAAAGCTGTATTCTTGACTGTTTGCTTTAGGAATCAAACAATACTCACTCGAATACAGCATTATATCATCATAACAATCATTAAGCATCATTGCACAGTTGACTTCTTTGCACTGTTTAAGACAAAAACTGTCAGTTATAGGGATCAGTGGCTTTGAGCACGCATCATATAAGCCTACAGTACTGTGCAAAAGCCATTTCTGTAATTTCCAGTTAAAACAGCCAATAAGTACACATTTTTCAGGAGATATTTTTGAGGAGATTAGATATAAAATCACATCTATAAGGACGTAAAAAGTTAAAGGAATCTATGCGAATAAAACAAGAGGTTCTAAAGCTGTTCAAAAATGATTCAAAAATATTATGAAATGATACAGAGAAAACTCATAACAACCGTGCAAAGCCATTGTTCGCAATAGTTTTGAAAAGATTTTGGTCTAAATTAATTTTTAAAAACACAGTAAAGAAGCTCAGCCCTGATTGGTCCAAGTCCTGAATTCAACCTGTCCTGGAGGAAGTCGGGCATGCAGCAGAAGTTGCCATGGCGATGTATAACAATAAAAAGTGATCCACTGTCACGAGACAGAAAAATTCAAGGTTTGATCAACCTAAGCTTAAAGTTGGCTGGCTAACCAAGAAATCCTGCTTTGTGAGACGGGGCCCAGATTTTATCTTTCAGAGATTAAGTTAAAAAAGCTGTTGACTCTCTAAGCTCGCTAATTTGCTTTCCTAATGTCTTGATGAGTTTTGATCATAATTTTTCATGAATTACATTTTTTTAAAAACCTCTAAGGCAGCCGATTTGCTGGATGAACAGCTATCAATACATGCAACTACATTAAAGTTGTTTTTATTCATTTTTTATTTTGACACACACACACACACGCGCACACACATATATATATAATTTTTTGACATTTTAACATTTCTATGTGCATTACAATTACACTGCATTAAAATACACTGGCTCACAATAGCTTTTAATATTGTTATAGATATAATAAGTATATATGGATGGATAAAATAAAAAAAGGGATTGAGTTGGCAACCCAGGGCCAAAGTGAGTTACATTGCATTACACTTCAACAAGTCCGATACGCAGCCATTCAGTCCAGCGTATTTTGCATTGTGATTAAGTTCCAGTATCATGATCTGATGTTGCTCAGGGAGATGTCCTTTGAGCTTTGCTCCTCATGATTGGACTTACATGTGATAGACAAAAACCACAGAAACATCAAGGCACCTGGAAGATAAATTGACCCAAATCATGTTTCGCCTGTTCCTTTTAACATGTAGAAGCATCAGTAACAGCTTATGCCTTGAAGACTGAAGGAATGGTAACAAACTGACAACATGAAAGTAACAGCTAAGACGTCAAATAGGATTTGGATAAATTATATCCTTATATAATAGAGGTAAAGGGAAAATCTTGTAAATTTTAATTGTAATCAAGACAGCATTAAAATGTTTTGAATTTTTTCCCCTTAAGAATAAGAGGAAAATTGTGTATATATATGAGTTTTTCACTGAACTTTTGCTTTAAGAACAAGGTTATTCCACTTACCTTGAAAGGCATTGAGTATTGTGAAGACGTAAACTCCTGGTAGGTTAATGAGTCCCTTTGTGGTGAATGCCAGCCCCCAGGGGAGCCCCAAAACACAACTGAGCCCCAGCACGGTGGCCCAGTCTTTCCAAAATCTTCTTACTCTGCTCGTAGTTTGGACAGTCCGCAGTCTCAGCTGCCGCATCTTCACCACTGTCACTGCCAGGATAGCTATATTGAAGAGCAGCACCAACCCCAGGTAACCATTTACTGTTATGTACCTCACAGCCGCAGTGGGAACCCAGCAGCTACAAATTGAGGAAGCAGATATGGACATTAGTAAGAGAAAAAGCAGAGATTTGAAGAGATAAGAAACAAAGAATATTTTGCAACTGTAGTATGGGCCTTACAGGTTGGTGATATTGCTGGTGTTCACTGTTAGGGTGTACTTGCCATATGAACCAGCTACTCCACAAATCATCACTGTAATTGTAGGAACTCCTATAGTAAGAGGGAAATCAATTCAATGTCTAAACATGTGATTGTTCTTTATGTTATGACTCCATAATCTTATGCTAACCCAACTAAGATGGCTGGTTGTCACTATGACAAGAAAACTGAAAACATAATAAATGCTTGACAGAAAGGCCTAGACAGAGTCATTATGTAGAGACAAATGTACTGTAGTTGTCAGTTTATAAGATACACCACCTTTACGCAAATCGTACATTCAAACAAGTAATGTGTCATGTAACAGCAGTGTGCAGTACAAATCAGGCAGACCAGCATCAGTTAGGGCAGGATTGGGCAAAATGAGTGAGTTTTGTGGCCTGCCAATCATGAATCATGTCATCCTAGAACACTCTACTTATTGGACTTTGTCTCGAATGAGCTACATTTTACCCCCAAGTTATTTCAGTGTAGAGATACTTGGGGGATGCAGTTCTCAGTGCAAGTTGCCCACCCAGCCCATTATATTCTCTTCTGATCAAATGATGGGGCCAAATCTAATCTCTAAGTGGTCGTAGTTTTGTGTCGTGTACAGGAAAAATGTGGGGTTGTGGAGAGTCAACCAAGTTTTGCCTTCATGGTACAGTTTATCCACACTCGACTGGATGCTTTACCATGTTACAAGGCACCTGTGTTATTGCGCTGGAACATGATAGCACAGCATTCATTTAAAGCATTGAAAGCAGCTGTACAACACATTAATTTCCAGATAGTATAAATGTACAAATCATCCAGCGTTTAGTAGAATCCATCCAGGCAAACCCATGCTGTTCTGAAGGCCAAAGATGGCACAGCACATTACTAGATAGGTGTACCTAACAAACAAGTGACAACTCGGTGTAGTGTGAAGCCCCTTCAGTGTAAGATGAGCCTCCGCCTTCCCATCATCATCAAATGATTGGGCCCAAAATCTAATAAGAATTATAGCCCCTGAAATTGTTTAGGGTCAGTTGATCTAATTTTTTTTACCTTAAAATGTACAAAAAATTTGGGGGTTGTGAAGAGAGATATACATTGTAAAAAGGTAAGGTGCAATGTCCTAAGTGGCCACCAGAGGGGGATACAGGGTCAGTACCTAGGTCTAATTTATGCTAGACACTATGACATATGCGCTCCTCTGGGACCCTGACTTGTTATTCTTGGACTTCCTGTGACTCATCTTAAGTGAGAAATTCTTTAGACTGCTTACACCAGAGATTTTCTAAAATAAGCTTAGAGCTGCATCTGTCTTTCAAAGCAAGCCTGGCCTACAATTGAACCTCACTCCTGACCCAGTGGTTAGTCTCTTGTGCTAAAACCTGAGAAGCTTAGATTTGATCCCCACTCTGGGAAGACTGCACCAAGATGTAAGAGGCCAAAGTTCAAGCCCTCCTCTGGAGCACCTAACATATCGTGGCATAGGACATGCCGGGTTGTATTTAGTTTAAATGTAAAAAAATGTTTTTCATGCTTTTGGTTAGGTGTAGCTAGGCACTGTGTTCTTAGTTGGTCTGTGACTTTTATTTTGAAGGATGGCGTGTAGTGGTGGGTTTTTGAGTAAACCTATAGCTAGCATAGAAGAGGACTGGGCTTTTCCCTTGGCTGCATTTGGTTTTTGTGAGTTAAACCAACAAAGCTGAGTTATGGATCATGACCTTGTTTCTACTGACTGCAATGATGTGAGCACGAGGATGAGATGATGTGCCGGATGGGTCCCATGCGAGGGGCGGCAGAACAGCTGGTGGGTTGGTGATGCAAAAAAAGGGGGCACCGCACCAGACAATGCAGTGAACTTAGGCTGGTGGGGAAACGGAGGCGGCTGGCAAGTTCGGCTCCCGACGCGAACAGTGGATAGAATGCAGCATAAACGGCAAACATCTCACTGCGCTTATCAACACATGCTCATCCATATCCCTGCTGTGGCCTGGTGTGCTCCCCCAGACCAAGAGAGGCATGTCAGGATGCTGAGAGGCGACCAACGTCCAGCTCAGGTAAGTCACTACCGGCCGGGTCCACCTGAGGGGGGGGAAACGGCTCCCAGTCATCCTGGGGAGTCTCAGCTGAGTGCACAAGTTTTGGCTCACACTCACATGGGATACGTGGATGCTTGGCTTACAGTTCCTGGCGGCAGTTAGGGCCATGCTCGACCTCAAGAAGGAAACGCTGGGCTTGGCGATGGGACAAGAGAAGCTGTTTGCTAGGGGCAGGACAGAGGCAGAGAGGCGGAGCCCCAGCACACAAGAACAGCTCCCTGGCCCATGTTAGCGATGCAAGGGACGATATTGAGAGTGGAACTACAACCGGAGGGTCCAGGGCTTGGAGCTTAATCCAGCTGGGAGAGTTGGGGTGTTTACTCTGCACCACCGGAACAGCTTAGAGGCTGCACAGAGAAACGTGCCCAGATCCCCAGCAGCACTGGAGCACAGTCAAAGCCCCCTCAGCCAAACTGAGAACCCCACCTAGCTCCCCAGCGGTGCCAAAGCGCTGTGAAAGCCCCCTCAGCTTTGGGATCCACATCCTCAGGGCCACAGTGGTCAGCTCAGAGGTCTTTTGCCTGTCCTAGCTATTTGGAAAAACCCCGCCAGGATCCCCAGCAGCGACAGAGCACTGACAAAACCCCTAAGCAGTTTCAGACTCCCCTTGATGTCTCTCAGGAACCCAGGAGGACCATGTCACCCTGATGGCTGCAGGGATTGGGCCAAAGGCAGAAGGACACTTGGTACCCCCTGGATCCAGGTGCCCTTTTCCCTTAGGTTTACTCAAAAACCCACCACTACACGCCATCCTTCAAAATAAAAGTCACAGTCCATGCCAAAACTGTCAGACCATTGAGAGATTTCCTAATTCCTCAGAGAGCTTGATGATGGTGGACCATATCTTCATCAACTTACCCCAGCCTACCAGGATTAGTTTGAGCGTGTATCTCCTGATGTAAATGTTGAAGACCCGCACCAATAGAAGATACAGATGGAAGCCTTCGATAGCTGTCCAGGTTAAGGTACCCAACAGGGCCCAGTGCAGCATGAGTCCCAAGGATCGGCAAGCTGCCCCCTCAGCTTCTGACCAAAAGGAACTAGCCAAGAAGAAGAGGTGCAGGAGGAACATCGAGCCTGTCAGCTGCATGTGAATGATGACAGAGTGCTCTGCCTTTATCTTCCTGTGGAGAGAGTCAGAATAGAAACAGATGTCTTTAAAACTTTTAAAATTATGTTTGTCTATCGTTAACAGTGCTGATAAACTGAGGTACATACAAAGCAAGATTGTCTATGGTTAGCAGTGTTGACAGTGGTCCAACAGTCCAAGGATTTGAGTCAAAAACCAAGAGCCAAAACTCTATGGTAGATTTTGCATGCTAAGCATTGATACATGATTCCATTGTTCATGCCTTTTCTTTTAAACATCAGAGCCTACACTGTGTCTTTTGTGCATTATGTGTTATAGAGTCTTGTGGTGAAGCATAAGTTTCTCGTAATTAATCATGAAGTGGGTCATTTAAGATAGAAAGTGGGCTACTTTTGGCTTCTTTTGTTGTTAAGACGGCAAATTAAATGTTAGTGAAACTGTTACTTGTATTGGGTTTTTATGTGTATTGGGTCTTTTATGAATTATATGGCAACTCAAGTGTCCACCAACAGGGCTGAGTGCAGAGGGTGGTGAACCTACAGCAGCACTCAACTCTGCTTTGAGTAACCTGGAATTGACTGATTAGCAGGCACTCAGAAGCAGCTACTATCTATAACTATAGCTAAGGAAGTGCTTGATAATCAGAAGAGTGGGTCAGATGTGTTGGGTGGGGAACAGGGGAATAGAAGGAATAGTTGGAACTGTGTGATAAATTATAGTCTCCAACAAGACAGACACAGCTAAGGAAATGGCAGGTAAGTGTAAAGAGTTAACTTGGAAGGAGTACTATGTAGCAAGTATGTGGACACCTGACCTTCATAGCCATATGAGCTGTTTGGACATCTCCTTCTGAAACCATGAGCATTTATATGGAGTTGTCCCTTTTTGCAACTATTATAGCCTCGACTCTTCTAGGAAGGCTTTCCACAAGAATTTGGATAGTCTATGTGAGAATTTGTGCCCATTCAGTCAAAACAAGAAGGCCTGGGTCACAATCAACATTCCAATGCGTCTCAAAGGTGTTCAGTGGGGTTGAGGTCAGGGCTCTATGTAGGTCACTGGAGTTCCCCCACATCAAACCATTCTTTATACCCCTCGCTTTGTGCACAGGGGCACAGTCATGCTGGAACAGGTAAGGGCCTTCCCCAAACTGTTGCCACAAAGTTGGAAGCATATAGTATGTGTAGTATGTCCACATACTTTTGTCCATATGATGTATTTTAAGAGCTGTCTCACCTGTGGCATAGAAACAGCATGAGGGCGATGACTGTGAACACCACAGAAAGAGATGACCCAACATATGTGATATACTCAAGAGGCTGCGTATCAACCTTCTCTGGCATATCAGGACTCTGTTAGGGAACAAAATTGTGAACAAGAGTCATATCCAGAATCAGGAATGATGGAGAGAATGATCAGTTTAAAACGTGCTCTTTAGAAAGTTAGTGTTTGACTATGTAGTCTGTTTGGAAGCATGAACTTACAACAAGCACTGCAAAGAAACTGAGGTGATTGCATTCACAGACAAAGTCTTTGTTGTTCTGGCTGGTGTTACAGCCGTCTGTGCTCCACTTACCTAAACATACACAAACAAACATGAAACAGAAAATCAATTTATGTCTTTTTTTTACATCTGCGTAATGTATGTAATTATATGTTTTGCTACTGTAACACTGCACTTTCCCTTCTGGGTCAGTAAGGTTCTTCCTATCTGTCTATCTATCTATCTATCTATCTATCTATCTATCTATCTATCAAACCGCTTCACTTGTAGTCTTTTTCACAATCAACAACAAACATCAATAAGAGACCCACAGCTTGTTTTTATGTTCTCATTACCAGCTTCTTGCAACAAGAAATGATTCTTTCAAACTTTCAGTTGAAAAAGTTAAAAGTTTGGTTCAGGACCTTGCTCACTATTCTTTGACATCTTCCAGAAGACACATTTTCTGCTCTCATTCTGAAACAAATGAATGTTTTTTGAAAAAAAAAAAACACAAATTAGAGCAAATTACTTCAATTCTGAACTTGTCAAAATTGTACATTATATTAACTAGTTTATTAGGCTGCTCAGTAGTTACACATATTTCATTTGGAGCAAAGGGGCAGTTCTGGTTCTACCTAACAAGTGACATAAGCAGCTGCTTAGGCTTAGGCCCTGTACCATTGCTGTGCCATTATGTTGCCCAAGACGCTAAAGGGAGGGGAAAAAAGAACTGCTCAATCATATCTTAAAAAGAGCATACGCAACTGACTCAATGAAAATGAAAAAGAAAATGAAGAGAAAAAGCTTAAAGAAAATGGTATGTTTTGTTTTTCCGGTGTTAATGTTATACCATTTGTTTTGGCTTGTAGTCGGACAGCAGGAAGCCTTCAGTCTGGGTTCTGTCTAATGAAGCAGGTTCGACTTAGACTTATGTGATTGCAATGAGAATGTTAATCAGTATATGTCCAAAAAAGGGCATCTATATGATTTGACACAAGACTTCAGATCATATGAAAAACAGCGGTTGATATCGCTTTACATGCTCCCCAGAAGTTAAGTCATTAGGGCTAAATCTCAATGATCACCTTTCACTACACTTCTCTCTTCTCACGATGAAGATGTAGCATCATCAGCTGTTCCTAAATATCTGTGAGCCTTCTTAAAACTTGTATGACTGTTTGGTTGAGAAGATTATTAGCATACAGCTGCACAGTGCTTTCTGCAGCTCATTAGCTGTCCATATGTTTTGGGATATTTTTGAATTCATAATTTTTTTTCTGCGTTTTGGCTTCCCTTTCATGTGAAAATGGCACTCTTGCTCACTGAAAATGGAAATTTTTGAAAACATATATTTCATTTTTTTTAAATGGATGGGCAAAGCTTTTCGAAATGCCAACATCACATTGTTAACTTGCTCACATCTGTTGCTGTTTTTATTTATTACATATGCAGACTCAGTCTGAAATATGACTGACTATAAGTATATATTCTGGGTGCTCTGCAATTTTGGGGTGATTTGAGAGTCATTTTTACTATTTAATTTGGCTTTACTTTTTCACTAAACCACAGCATGGGGGCATCAGAGATTTGTATTTTATTTGAATGCATCCAAAATTATGTGTAACCTATGATATTGCAGGTAATTTGGTATAACCTGCACAAATGCCCAAATATACAGGATTGACTACTAATTTTGTTTTTATTTTATTAACTTTATTTTGAGTGTGACCAAGGAAATTAACTGAATAACTTTTATTATGAAGTGATACTTAAGTATTTTTAAAGGGTTAATACAACTACCACAAGCTTAATTTCCAGCAACCTAGTTACAGTGAATGGATGATTTGTTTCTTGTATTAACAGGTGAATTTCTTACCTGGCTGACGTTTACAAACTTTATCCTAACAGGATGAGAAAGGTCGTGGACATCTTGATCACCAAGCCACACTCCTAAGACCTGCTCATGAAGAGATCCATTATCTGAAGGAGCCTGTGCCAAAATACATGTAGAGAACACCAGTACGATTCATGAGTTTAATGTAAAGAGAGTTGCTTTTTGCAATCACTATAATTCAGAGCATCGTGAACAGTAGTTATTAAAGTAAAATCTAGTCTATTGGAGACCTCAAACTGTAATGGGATTACTTATTACTCTTTAGAGAAAGTGTTGTCACTAGTCATTACTTCTATGTTACCCTCTAAAGCACATGTGAATCTGTACTGAATAGAAAGGAAAAGGGAAAGCCCAATGTTTATTTATAAAGAGGATCCAATCACAGTAATGATCATTCAAAAGGCCTGTCACTATCCTCCTTTCAAACAAGACATAGCCAGTTATGCTTGAATACAATTATTAATTGTGTAATGCTGCTTGAAAACCCAAAAACTAACCAGTAGAAACAGTTCAAAACCTTGAAATAAAATCTTAAAGCTTATAGAGCTGTTCCTGAACAAAAATCAAGTCTCACCTGTTTTGGCGAGCTTCTCTGTTCTTAAGCAGTTTTATACTAGTAGGATTAGATGCTTTGACAGATTAATTGTGGAGTTTGTGCTGCTTCCTGTTCTTATAGACTGCTGCTGATATTCACAAGTCAGCTTTTGCAGGTAGTTCAAACACACATGCAAATTATGTATCGGCGTGGATAATCTATATAGAGGAAATTTACGCTTTAAATGTGTTTAATCTTGTTCTCTCAGAGAGATATGAGTAATGCAAGTTACAAGTCAGAAACTGTAATGTGATTAGAATGATGGACACTGTAATGTGTTACACTACACTGTAATCACTTTACTGTAACAGATTACTTTGTACTGTAGTCTTTGGCTGAATTTTTTTTGTGAACATGTAGATTAGTTTTTTTCATATTCATTTTTGCAGTAATTAAAATTTGTACATTTTATATTATAGACTTGGGCTTAAAACAATAGCTATGTGATATATACACTTTGGGCCAGATTTACTAAATGAAGCACTAATTATCGACACTTTGTGCCACTGGGGGTGGGTAATTTGGTGGCTTATCTACTAAGAACTTCCATGCAAATGAACACAGGTGCAACTTCATACTTAACATATGAGCAGCGCAATATAACTACGTGTTTGACTCACATGCTGTTTGTATGGAAGCCCATTTCCGTCAGGTTGTTGTGGCCCAAAATGCATGCTAAAGCAAAACTGTGTAAAAAGTAGCTGTGATGACCCTCTGAGTGGTCTGTTTTTTTCTGCTGTGAGTTTGTGGAAGGTGAATTGTTTGCTGCTGAGTCAGTAGTGCATTCATTAGTGTAGTATGTAAAGTATAGAAGTGCAAGGTTTTGGACGCCAAAACGTATTTTATCCTCTGATTCTGGTTCAACACACTGGGTTGAAATAGTTACTTATTTTTTGAGATTTTTATTTAGTAGGCCAAAATAATGACTAATTACTAAAGAACAAGTTATTACCTTTAGGAAATAATTACATATCTTTAGGAAAGTCTTTAGAAAAATGATTTTGACGTCATTATTTTCAGAAACAAAAAGCTTAATGCATATTTATCATTTAATAAACACAAAATTGAGATTGTAAGTAATTATATTAATTATATTTATATAGTAATTGTATTGCTTGATAGTTTGAACTGAACTAAGTTTTGTCAGTGTGCATTTAAAATTCATGTGAAACTGTAAAACCCTTGTTTAATTTCACTGAGCGCTTCCTGCTTGATTTGGAACTGCATGATTTGAACTTGTGGTGAACGCATCCTCTCAGCTCTGCGCAGTGCGTCGGACCCTAACCGATACTTCTGTGACAGAAGTCACAGAGTGAACAACTGAAGAAGTAGCCTTAGTACTGTAGCGGTTGCAGAGCCTAAGAGCTTCACAATAATTTGAGAAAGAAATCTGTCAAATGATTATAGTAACTTACTGTGAACCTTAGTGAATCAGAAAAAGTGCTTTATTATAATAATCTACTCCGAGTATTCTATGCTTTGAGAAAGAAACGTCTGTAAATGCTGTGCAATGAGACAAAAGTACAAAAGATCAGCAATCGCCCTTTTAAATTTTTACAGGCACTGAAGAGTCACTGCTCCATTTTAGTAAACTGTCACAGCCACTTTTTAACACCAATACAAGATTTGCAATGTTGCAAAATGTTAGTAAATCTCCTCCTTTTTCTGTTAAACTTAGAAGCTTGTGTGTATTTCAAAAAACTAATTGTGGCAACTAACGTCCTTAACTGGTTTGACTAAACTGACCTTATCAGGGTTTACACTAGTATACCTGTAGCGCATGTATTTAATGCTTCTTAATAGTTTGGTGGAGCTGAGTTGGGAACTAGCTTAAAGTAAAACTGTGGACTGTCTGTTAGGAGTGTTGAGAAACACTGCTGTAGAGCCAGAACACTGCAGATTGTATGTGTGGGTTTAGTTTAGTGTTATTAGTCTGTTTCACCACAGAAGCATCTGTAGTGGACTATGTAAGGGAAATTGGATGAGATTGAAAGGTCATGTACAAGTAAGCATTACAGCTGTGTACAGGTCTTTTAGCCCATGATTTGAATCGGGTTTCTTAAATCTAAGACATTAAATAATTAAAAAAATAAGAGATGACCACATTGGCTAAAATCTGGTACTAACCTCAAAAAGGCTGCTGTTGAGAACAGATACGATTAAGTACACGTCATTTTCACTTTTGCTTTTCAGGACAGCTTCGGAGGGAACTTGGATTACATGTCCATACACTGTGTCCACTCTGGCCTGCGAAACAACAAATTATACATAATTAATTGTGTATCCATGCATATTGTGCCGTTGTGCCTCTGACTGCGCCCCATTAGAGCTCGCAAGTGGGCCATAATAATAGGCCCATGTCACCCGTTTTATGTGACAGTTATTGTTGTTAATATTGTTGTTCACTAGGTTTGCGATGTGTTTTATGTGCTTATCGTGTTGTGTTTAGTTAGTATGAGTTTGTTTTTACCTTAAAGAAAAAGCATATGGCTAGGAGTGACCTGTCTTTTTCTTTTAGTGGCTTTTCTGCCATGTTTGTATTAAAACAGCATGTTTCAAGCCTAAAATATAGCCTCTGATGATTCATAGTATATCCTTAAATACACAAATCAAAAATATTGGAATGCCTTTCTGTTAAAAAAAAAACATCTTATATATTGCTGTTGCTGGAAGAAAACCTTGTATCTCCAAAATGGTAATTTTACAGGAGAAGGAAAAAACATACTTTACTTTTAATGTAAATCAGTGGAACCAGATTTTTTTCCAAGTCAGTCTGCACTGTTTCTTTTGGTCCATTCATCATGAAATTTACACACAATGTAAAGGGCAACAGGCATTTTCAAATTATGTCAAAAACTGTAAAATGGATATAGAAGATACAAGGTTTTCTTCCGACAGTAGCAATATCTAGAAAGATTGATAGCCTTTCGAAAAAACTGGAAAACTGAGTTATGACGATAGAAGCAGGCCATTTTTTTCTTGACCAAGGACAGTGCGCATCTGGAACAATAGTTGATCAGTTCATTTCATTATCTGCCACTTAAAATTGTGTCTTGAATTGCACAATGTCCCAAGAGCATCTGTTGTTTTCACAACCCATAAGGAACCAGATTAACATCATTGGGCGAGCAGCAGCACATCGATAGCCATTAATAACCAAACCAAAATGATAAATGATGACAGACATGGTGTAGAGCACACTAGATCAGTGGAAAGTGGTGCACATTCTTAGACAGATGTGGATATGAGAGTGTCCAGAGAACGAGTGTGTGGCCTCAACAGTGAAGTTTGGAAGCTGTGGTGTGATGGCATGCAGATGTCTCTGAGAGAGTTTGCTGCAATAACATTCTCTACTTTTCTAGAAAGGCTTTACAATGGATGGTTCAAAATTGCTGTGAGGGTTTGACTGCATTCAGCCACATGAGCATTAGTGAGGTCAAGTACTGATGTTGTATGATCACTCTAACTCATCCCAAATTGGATGGAGCTCCATCACTCCAGAGACCAGAGAACACAGTTCCACTGCTCCACAGTCCAGTGTTTGGGCTTTATACCTCTCTAGCTGAAACTTGGCACTGGCCATGGTAACTTTAGGCTCATGTAAAGCTGCTCCAAAGCATCCCAATCTGCTTTGAATGCTTGTTCATAAAATTATAGTTGTGCATAACTGAACGCGATGTCAGCAATGGGTTCCATATCACGTAGTGTATTTGTGTACTTCATTCAAGTTTTATAGTAAGTGTGTTTACAGTAAGCATGTGTTATAAATGCCAGGCACGTGTGTGTTTGTGAATAGAAAAATTAAAATTCTCTTACTGCTCTGGAGGAGTTTGCAGCTCTCAAATAGAAATCTGGGCTATGAAAACCCCGTGGAAGACTTTTTCCACAGTTTCTCATCGCGTTTTCAACACACCTGTTCAAAAATATCAGGGTTAATGAATCATTGTCATTTGACTAGATGCTGTTCTCTATTCGTACTGATAAAGCAGTAGTAGAAGCAAGCTAATAATTACTACTAGTAAAATTAGTCATACTAGTCTTGTGTTGCCAGAAAATAAGCTGTAATTTTGTATGTTTGTTTATACACACATTTGTTTACACAAACATACAAAAAAGAGCGTAAACATGTACTGTCCAAAACTGTGATTCTCCATGTGTCACAGTGACATAGACCTGAATTAGATGGTAAAGCCTACAGCATTATAAATACCCATCAGGTCTACTAGACTGTATGAATTGTTTGTTAATGTTTAAAATTTCATAATTACATTGTTTTCATGAAGGGTAACACTTAAATTAGGTCTGTAAACTCTGTAAAAATAAGCAGTAACATAAATAAAAAGAACAACAGTGACATATATGGTTGATGACATATATAATGCTGACTGAAGAAAAAGACAATGACATAAAAAAAAACCAGTTAGCTGTGAGATTCACACAGCTTCAGGTCATTGTTGACCTCTTTATTTGTTTGTACGGTGTTTATGACCTCATTAATAACCACTAATACACTAATTTTAAACCATTCAAAAACCTTTATTAAGGTAGTCTCATTGTAAAGTGGTAGCCAAGCTTTATTATACAATCCAGTCATTTAATTATTCTATATTTTAATTAAAATGACAAATGGTGGGAATTAAAGTTATAGTAAATCTGGACTCTTTTCTCTCAGCACTTGCTTTACTGTAGTTTAACTCCATGCGGTTGAGATCTCATAGCTTTATTAACTGTAATAACAGCTACAGCCTCTTCAGTGATTTCTCGGCTGTTGTGCCAACTTCCCCAAGTTTACAAAGGAATAAAATGATGGAACCTGATCAGAAACGTGAACAGTAATGTGAACAGTAATGTGTAGGATCAAATGTGAATTAAATCAAATATTTAAGTTTTTGAATATTTCCAGGGTCATCTGGGATTCTGTGCTCTCCTAACTGCTACCACGACCCTATCTGGATTAAGCGGTTAATGATGATAATGAATGTGTTTTAAATTTCCAGAGAATAAGAAACAAATACTATTATTTTCAGTGTCTCTGAAATTTATGTCAAAAAAGATTCAGCTTACTGAAAGGAATAGTTTATATACACAACTTGTATTATTATGAGGTTATATTAGATGTATAAATACTAATAACAGTTCACATTTACTGGAGTTCAGAACTGAATGTCTCTCCACTTTTAGCAAAACTTTAACTCACCGAGGGATGTTAGACCCGTTTTGTTGGCAATGTGTGAGAACATTTGCGCAACGGATGGAACCGGCACCTGCAGATATCAGTTTAATACAGTGTGATATCAGATAATAGAAACTACTTTAAAGAAGGGTCACCAATTTTCAGAATCTTACATTCTTATTCTAAGTATGAATGCAGACAGATGGGATGAAGAGTGTTCTAAGCTTTATCTTTATAGTTTCAAAATGCTGATGTTTACAAATGTAGAATTGCTTTATACACTCATTATGTTAATCAACACAGCTCCAAAGTATTTCTAACCTCACCGATTAAGTAAACTCGGAAAAAGAAAATGTGCAAAATTCTGAAAAATTGGTGGTCCTTTAATTGTCATTACTGTCAGACATTCTTCACTTGATACATCTAGATACATCTTCCTATCAAGTCCAATCAAGGCACTTGTTTAATGTAAACTGATATTTCACAGCCCTAAAAGCTTCAGGTTTCAGACTCCAAACTTGTAGTTCAAGAATAAGTATGTTGTTTCTATTGATAACATTAAGGCCAAAAGCCACCGTTACTTTCAATCAAGCTGAAATTATCGAATATAAGATGTTCTTTGTTTTACCTTTTTCAGCCAGCAACAGGTAGGAAAACATAAAAACCATAAGTACATAAGATCTCCTCATTTCTTCAAAATACGATCTCCCCGTTTGTCTGCTGTCACTGATAACTCGTTTCCTCATTGTGAGGTCCGACCTGTTTCGTGTCTGTGGTTTTCTGCTGAATTGGAAGGCATCTGTTGTCACATGGTATTGTCATAGACATGCATTGCATACTACTATCTCTCCCACAGCACCAGATGTATCAGACTGTGCTATTTTATTTACAAAATGGAAAAAGGGCAGATATTGAGTAGATTTCAATTTTTAAAGATTTCAAACAGGAAGAAACAGTGAGCAGAAAGAAAGCTGTCCTCATGAACGATAGCTTTAAAAAAACAGACATTACTTATTAAATACAATGTTGTACGATCATTACAGTCATCAAGCATTACTGCACAGTAGACTGCTTTAGGCTGTAGAAGACAGTAATGCGGTGTAAACACACGCTGTGTAAGCAGGTTGGGAGGATTTCTTTAAAAATGTATTCCAGTACAGATTATTGGTTACCTGTACTAGATTATGGTAATGTCATCTGGTTAGTTTCCATTTTTTTTTGGATTGCTTTGTCTCTTTAAAGTCATATAATTAAATGACACAGTGCACTGTCTACCCTCTTCCTTTTTGGTTTTGTGGTAAGCACTGTAGTGAAACTTTCTCGAAACATAACAAAATCTGAATTTAGCTCATGGGGACACAAACAGGAAAGGAAAACAATTACAAGAGTGGTGTGAATGTAATCCTGCTAGTAATCACCCTATTTTTTGTAATGTTCATGTAATCTGATTACTGTCCTTTTTTATATTCTGATTTCACTTCTCAGGAGATTGCTGAGGAGGTTAGATATAAGACTGTCCACTTGCATAAGGAAGGGAAAGTGAGAGAAAAATAAGTGGGAAACTGGAGCTCACAAACATATATAAAGCTTTAAAAGATCTAGAGAACTTAGCACTATTAACAACTAACAATGTCACCAGATGAACAGTACATACAGCTACCACCTTTGTTAGAGAAGAGAAAATGAAGCTTCACTCTTATTTCACAACTGAAAACATCCACACTTGTTTCCGTCCATCCTTCCACTGTGAAAAGACAACTCGACGCCAAATGTCTGAAAGCTGTCAAGAAGTGGATACTGAGAAAAGGTAATAGACAGAAAATGTGGAGGTGTGGAAAATATCCCTGCAGTTTTCTTTGAAAACCTGAAAGCAAGTCTACTGAAAGAACGGAAGCTGTAATAAAGGCAAAAGTACTGAAAGTGTTAATATCATAATTAGTTGTCCTTCTCAAGGAGCCCAAAACATATAGGCACATTATACATAATACACTATGCTACATGGAATATTTCTCCAAAATGTATCTTGCCGTAACAAAAGCATGGTGTAAATCAATATTGTTTCTCTCACATATTTTACTGAAAATGCAGAAAACCCTGTAACAAATGCAGATTCTAAACTTTCAATCAATACCACACTGTTTTCATAAGCATAATTAAAAGTTATAAATATGGTAAGTGTAGAATTTGTAGTTATAGCTGCGTGTTCAGTCTTGTTTTGTGGCAAGAAAAACTGTTTGCCACATTATTGTGTAATTTTCTGACAAAAGAAGTCAGAAGTGCAGACTTGAAGCTACCAATACAGAATATAAATATAATGCCTCACTGTAATTTGCCTCATTGTCTAACTCACTGTAATTTAATATGATTACACATGAAAATCAAAGCATTACAAAAGTAAGTTCTATTGATTTCTAAGGCTTAAAACCGCTGAGTGTCAGGTCAATAATAAGGAACTAAATGGGGAAACGTTGACTGTATAACTGATTATGAAACTCTGATGGTCGTATGATCTGTGACAGTTCTCGTCTTGATATCCAGTGATGTATGAAGTAAAGCTGGAAATGCTTAACTTACGCTGACTGAATGCTACATGTCTGTTATGAGTTGTCAGAAAATCAGGGAAGGTGCTTTCCTTTGGTCTGGCCAAAGAACTGTATGGATAAGATGGAGAGAAAGTTTCAGCCACTGGGCGCCTCCTCTTGGCCTCGTACACCCACAGGAACATGAGTAAGCCTGGACGCCAATGGAATACACTTCAGCGTCACGTACCCAGACACCATTTGGTTCCCCACAGTAAAATGTCAACAGGAGACGTCTGTCGGGTAGTTTCCATGCCTGTTTTCACACCATTCACCATAACTGCTGAATCTCCTTTCCTACTTCTCTTTACTGTCTAAAAGATTAACAAGTGTCTAGTTGTTAATATTGTTTTTTCTTTTTTCAGAGACTATGCAGAAATTGGTGCAAATAGTTCTTCAAATGAAGAAAGGAATGTCTGGAAGGCCTCAAATATACTGTCTGATGTGGTTCACTGGGTCACCATTGTTTTCATAATCAAAAGGTCAAACATCATTACTCTAGTCATAGGGTCTGAACAACCTACCCACCACCCCTAGAGTGTGATTTAACCACTGATGCAAAAAAGGGGGCTAGTAAAGGGAATAAATGTAAAAGTATCATGTTAATATGTTATTTCAGCAATGATTTGGTTATAAAATTGCAGTTGGTGTAATATACATATATGGCAATTAATTTATTCCCTACGTGATGTAGGTCACGTACAGACCTCACTACTCTGCTGAAAAATCATAGAAACCATTAGAGATGCAGAGATACTACTTTTTCCCTTTCAAAACCTGATCCTTTAGTATCGGCCGATACAGAGTACCAATACTAACTCTGTCTAACCTAACTCACATATAAGTCCTGATATTTTTACATTTTTTAAATATTTTATTTTGGTAAACTCTATGTTCAGCATCAAATAAAACACAGCTTGGCTAGATGGCATTTACTTGTTGGACTATATTTATTAGATGCTTAAAAAAACTTTTTTTTGTTTATGTACTGTGTATTTAGTATTTATTGTTATATAATTAGTAATAAGAACCATGTTTAACAACTTAAGTAAATGTAAAATATCTTTATTGTGCAAAACAGTTAAAAAAAGAACCAGACAGTATACAGATAAACGTATTGTTTACACATCAACACACAGCAGCTTCTCTGGCTCAAAAACGGACCTGAATGCTGTTTCACTTCCAAATTTCTCATTTGTCTAATACTTGCTCACTCATGCTGCATCTCTGAGTGTCGGTTCAGTAAATATCACAGTTCAAGCTGTCAGTATCAGCGACTTTCAGTGTTTTTTCTGGCTTGGTTGAAGCGACGGGCCGCGAGACCCCGCTGCTGAGTGATACAGCTGACCGACGGAGGTGCAGCGCATGGCGGGGATAGTGGACGCACAGGCCCGGCTAGCGGGCTGCTATGTTATAGGCTAAACCGAGGCTAAATGCTATCACTACGCCGAGAGTCGGGCAGTTCCTTCCGCTTTCCCAGTAACTTTAACTCAGAGTGTAAGGTCCAATCCCATTTCACCCCTCGCCCTACCAGTTAGCCCTTAGCCCTCTGTTTTGCACATTCACTTCTAGGGTTAGGGTGTCCCAATTCTTGTTGAGATAGAGGGGTAGGGCGAAGTGTTAAGGCTACATATGACCCTCTAGACTGAGGGTTTTCAGAGACTCCAGAGAGTTATCAGAAAAAAAAGAAAAACCGGCAAGATGGCTGCATGAGCGACCAACAAAACCCACAAATGTATTTTCTCCGTTAAAAAATTACGGTAACAATTGTATTATCTTAGTTTTATGTCGTTTCAATGTATTATGGTCGTTTTCTTCATAACAAGCATAAAAAAATCGCTAAAAGTATGCGAATGTCTCGGTAGCTAGCTAGCTAATTTTCCCGTTCCACCTTAAATAGTCCAGCAGTATTGACGCCTGAAGCGCCAGAATGTAACTGCTGCACCATTTAAGGTGGAACGGGAAAATTCGAACAAGAACCTGGTGAATAGCTGACCTCGGATTCATATCACCAAAGAATTAGCGGTTAGTGATAGTAAATAATTGTCTTATACCCTCTTTGAAGGCATATGATGCCCTAAATGTGACTAAAGCCCAGCAGTGAGGAGCTGAACTTTTCCCTTCTCTGCTGTCACTGAAGACGGACCGGGTCGCCTACAGAGCAGCGCTAGTAGCTGTTAGAGAGGCAATGTTTTTTTTATTTTTTTATTTTTTTATTTGAGGGTCCCACTTCGTAGGGCAAGATTTCCACCACTACCCTTTGTAACTCCGTTCCAAGGGGTTAGGGTGACACTCGAAAACAAGGGGTAGAGTAAAAAGAAGAAATGGGATTGGGCCTAAGTGACCGCACAGCGGCAGACGAGTGTTTACTGAAAGAAGCAGCTCGGTCGTTCAGGTAAGCGGCTCTGTTAGCAGGTTATTAACATCAAAAACTGTAGTTACAGATTCTGCCATGAGCGTTTTTACTGCTGCTTGTTGTCACACACCGCAAGTTCTGTCTACTGGTGCGCAAAATACTCGTTTTTAAAGCACTGTACTGCTGGGTGATTGTATTCCAGAGGTTAGCGTTGGATGGGATTGTGTAGCTTGGCTCAAAAAAGTGGATTATGTCTCTGAGCCCCTCTCCAGAAACAGCAGATAGCTAGTGGTCGAATGTCTTTGACAGTAAACCTGACAAGCAAATTCGTTATTTGTCGTCTTCTTTCGTCTGATAGGACGTTCTGAAAACTCCGTGATGCTGGCCTGTCTGTTTCCAGCGTGTTCCGTCCTGCTACCACCGGTGTTAGCAGTTAGCACTGGATGCTTCATTTTGAGAAGTATTTTTATTGTACTTAAGCGTAGTTTTACACATTGTGCAGCTGACTGTAGAATTGGATTAATCTTTTCTGAAGCATTAGCAGACCACCGAAGTTTGTTTTGTAGAAGAGCTGCTTTCTTTAATACGGAGCCCTTAAGGGGCCGTGGTTAAAAAAAAATAAAAAAATATGTTAATAACATTGCGTTCCCTCGCAAATGTTTTGCGTTCCCTTGCAAATAAAATGCGTTCCCTCGCAAATGATTTGCATTCACTTGCAAAAGCTGTGCTTTGCTTAAGCTCAGACATGAAGCAGCTCATTGAATTTTATGTTGATCTTGGATTGAAATATAAAGACGTGTCTTTTCTCAAAATCAAACATGATTCTGCTGT